TTACAAACCTTTTTGAATGTATCTCTGTCCATTCCGTGATTTATCGACTGAATGATTTGAGATAAATTATTATGGTTTAATTCTAATAATAAACAACAATTTGCATTTTTTCTAATAAACATAGCATCCATCCCGTAAAAGGATTGGGATTGGTATATACAGTGACAGTTGTGATGTCTTCCTTTCTTGTTGAACGGCTTGATTTCTTTGTGCTTCACAGTCCTCAAACACTTAAGTTCTTTCGCCCACTATCAATTTTAGACAAATCTAAATCATGAACACTTTTCGTAAGAAAAACTTTTATATACGTTGGATTGAAAGATGGATTCTTTTCTTTTATATATGTATCTAAGATATCTTTTATTTCTATCTCTTCATTGTCTTCATAATATTTTAACATGTCTTGAACATCTTGCTTTGGTAAATATTCTATAGCTTTAAGGAATTGATAATATGATTGCTCTGGTGTTGTTGTGTAGATATATAGAGAATCGAATTCTCAAAAGTTTGGTTTTGTCATTATGTTAAAAGTGAGGTGAGTTTTACCAGAACCTGAACTACCACATATACTCATAAGCATTGGGTTACTAGGAAATATTTCTGAATGTTTAAATTTCTTTCCCATTTTTTATTCTATATTTTTGTTCCAAAAATCACTCCTTCTCCTTTATACTTTGAGAGAAATGTTCCCTCTCCAGTGTATATATATTTTTTAAAATATTCCATTACCCTTATATATGACTTTCAGTTCTCCAGTGTCAATCTTATCTATTAGATTACTTAATCCCTCTTTAACAGTTTTATTGGTTTCTTGAGTAAATCGATTTCAAAATTCTTTTACTGTGCCTAATATATTTGCTACTCCTGAACCTCGTGCTTCCTTCTCCATTGCTAAATTATGTCTACGTTCCTCAGCGGTTTTAGCATCAGCTGCTTTCTTAGCGTTGGCAGCTTTGACTGCGGCAGATATCCCACCAGTTGGTGCACCAGCCGCGGTAATACCAGCAAATATTAAAGGTAGGAGAGGTAAAAACCCACTTCTTTTGCGTTCGTGTCAATTCTTTTTAAATCTATTTCATCTCTGACTTTACAATATTTATATATATCAATAAGTTTTTGTTGATTTTTTTTACCATTGAGAATTATTACAGTTGGGGAAGCTGTTTCAATAGCTCCTATTATTTTCTTAACTACAGTTTCTGGCTTCATTCTTTAAGGGTTTTTTTTTACTCAATCCTTATCATTCTTCTATCTGATATCTTAATTAAATGTTTTGCTTCTTCCATCAATAAACAGTACTCGGTTAAATCTCCTTGTTTTTTTTTCAATATAAATACATGTATTTATATTTACTTCGGTTTTGAAAAGATCTTCTTGGTGAGTTGATAGATCAAAACAGAAGATTGGATGATTAAGTGCAAAATCTACATATTCAAACTGAGGTGGATTTCCAAATAATTCACACATATTTTTAAAGTTTCTATACAATTCTTCCATCAATAAACAGTACTCGGTTAAATCTCCTTGTTTTTTTTCAATATAAATACATGTATTTATATTTACTTCGGTTTTGAAAAGATCTTCTTGGTGAGTTGATAGATCAAAACAGAAGATTGGATGATTAAGTGCAAAATCTACATATTCAAACTGAGGTGGATTTCCAAATAATTCACACATATTTTTAAAGTTTCTATACAATTGTGAATGGATTAATTGTTAAAGGTTGGTTAGGATAATTATCTTACTTGAACTTTATGGATTATAGGATCTTGATTTTGGTTCATTGCCACTCTGAAGACATTATTGTTATTGGTCTGAGAGTCTGGTAAGTTCTCGAAACCAACCATTAAATATCTTGCTGGTTTAATAGTGTTGGTGATTGGCCAAGTAGTGGATTCTCCAGTTAAAGTCACGCTTAATACCGTGTTACGACGAAGAAAAGCTATTTCAACATCTTCAACAACGTAACTACCCCAACTATTACTATCAACGGTATTGTTGTACTGAAGTACTCGTTTTTCGAATCCATGATTAGCTGCTCGTCCTACTCTTTCTATTGTGTTACGATCAATAAGTCTCATTCTAGCTTGATCTGCATCATTTGCAACATTTCTTACCGGTTCTTTTAAAACACTTCCATCGCCAAGATCGGGTATCCAGCTTGAAACTGAATCGAAGTCTTTAGGATATAAAACTGTTTTCCGCGTTGTATCAAATTCCCCAGGGTGTTTAATGGTTTCTATAGGATTTTAACCAGCTTCCAAAACCATCTCGCTAAATAAATAAGAAAAGAAATTGTTTTCTCAGGTTGTATTAGTTTGAGGAACTCGATTCTGATTAGGAGTTACATCTTTGATTTTGAAACCTAAGAAAAAAGTAACCAATTTGATAATGAATTTATTTCTACCACCATCATTCGACTGGGATTTATAACCAATAGTTGGTGAGATGATAATATAATCCTCTTTTGTCTTGTTAAATGAATAACGAATCGGATCGTATAATTTAAAGATTGTATCTAGTATGTAATTTTTATCTCCCATTTTTAAGGTTTAAAATTTGAATATAGATTTATCGGTTTCGTCTTACCTAGTTCCCGACAGATGTTTTTCTCCAGGATATTTTGCCCATGGAAAACCAAGAAGAGAGCATAATGATTTTTGTATATCTGAACCAAAATAAGTTTATCTGTGCGATTATCATTTTTATCCTATAATCATATAATTCTAAAGCCTTTTCCTTTCTTTTCTTCTAATCTCCTGTTTCGTAGTTCTCTTATTAGTTGTAACTCTTTCAGTTCGTTAAATATTTTACTGCGTCGCTTATACTTACTTCTGATTTTGCGATAGAACCAATAGCCTGGGCTTCAGATGAAATAAGTGATTTGTTGTTTGCAACAAAGCTAGCTACTTTTGGAAATAGAGAAGTTAGTGCTGAGATGAAACCATCTCCATTAAATCTTTCTTGTTCGTGTTTTAAAATTAAAGTCATCAAATTTTTAAATGAGTTAAGTTGATGATAAAATGTAGGGTATATAGGTCTTTTTTGGGTGTGAATTGATGGAATGTAGGGTATGGGTGTATTTTTTTGGGAGCTCCTAGATTGGATGAACTTTTCCCAATGGAATGAAATGATCTTATAAAGATTTACATACGATCCTACATACAGTTACGTACGATATATAAATAGTAACGTACGATCCTATAAATAATTACGTACGACATATAAATAGTTACATACGATCCTATAAATAGTTATGTACGATCCTATAAATAGTTATGTACGATCCTATAAATAGTAATGTACGATCCTGTAAATATTTATGTATGATCCTACATATAGTTACGTACGATATAAAAATAGTTACGTACGATCCTATAAATAGTTATGTACGATCCCATAAATAGTTACGTACGATCCAATAAATAGCCATGTACGATCCTATGAATAGTAAAGTACGATCCTACATATAGTTTAGTTACGTACTATCCGATAAATAGTTACGACGATCGTTTTGAGTTATGGCCTTGACTTGTCAAAAAAATTTTCAGAGTTTAATAGAAATACGGTTTTCATCTTTCATCTGATTAAAATGAAATTTGGTGTGATTATATATATTGATGAGATCTTGGATAAGGTGTTATTTGACAATTTTTCGACAAACGGTTTCGAGTTACCGTCCTTGAATTAGTCAAAATTTGTTCGCAAGAATGACTACCGTGTAAGTTTTTACTATCATGAAAATAGTTTTTGAGTTTATCGCCATTTGTATCATTTTTAGAGCTTATTCCGGATTGTCAAAATGGTGGACAGTTTGTGGCAGAAGATGGTAAATTGAAATGTTCTTGTCCATCAAAAACATTCGGTGACGATTGCAGTAAGTACACACTGAAAAAAGTTGTTTACTAATCCTTCCTTTACGCTCTTGTAGTCGTTTGGGACAATAAACAGACTGTTCAAGTTACAGATCCCTTGACAGTTGGAAATCTCAAAAAGACGCCGAGTTGTTCAGATGGGTCAATAAATCGAGGCCCCGTGTGCTATAGGCTGTAAACATTAAAGATTCCTAGACATTTTGAAATCGAAAAAGAGTATGTTAATGTCAATGTCCTGATAATGTCGCTCATTGCACACTTTATTAGCCCACCAGGTGCAAAAATGTAGGACGAAAAACTCCATTCATTTTATTCTCTGCATGTAGGTCTAGGAGTTTGTGATGTTGAAAGTGAAAACCCTTGTGCCAGTGGTAGTACCTGTATACCGGGAGAAAACATTGCTGATGTTCCCAACTGTGTTTGCACGCCCGGTACAACTGGAAAATATTGTAACGGTAAGTAGAGCCAGGAGTGAATTAAGTAAAAAGACAAAACCTTAACTACCATTGTAGAGTTCAAAATGCAACTAAGCAGACGAATTATTTAGGCTGTGCTCTTTGAGTGTCTTGATAATCTAGCCGTGTTCTCTTAGTGTCTTATTAATAGAGTCTACCGGAAATGGACAAGCGCACGGGGTACATTATTAGTGAACGCATGGTTGCAAGGTGTGGACTGGAAATAATTTTTCACCGTCGTTCATACGTCGTGGTCTTAAATTGTGATAGATATGAATGTATATTTTGTGAACTTTGTGAATTTGTGAACTCTCTATTATGTACCATTAATCTGAGAATATAGAACAGTATATATTTTATCTATGTGTTGTGAATGACGCGTTCAAAACCTCTCCACGCTCCCCCAACCTACATTGCTTGTGAAAAATTTTCCAAACTGAAGTTTTGAATACAGAACTTTATACGTGAACGTGACTGAAGTGTGAATATGAGTGAATCAAGTGAAACAACTCCACCGCCAGTTCTTCAGAGAATTGAAAATCCGAACAATGACAGTCAAAATGTCAGTCAAAATGGTGAACACGTGGACACTGAAACTTTCTCAACGGAAGCCGGTGAAAATAATGGTGAAAGCGTCCCACATGGGGCCGGTGTAAACTTGCCTGCACCCCAGAACATTTTAAATCAGAGTGACAATTTGCCAATAATTAATCCTGAGGATAGTGCCTCGAATGTTGGGAAAAGGTCAAATCTGTCAAAGACAAGCCGTACATCAGTTATGAAATTGAGAAACAAACAGAGAGAAATAGAGTTAAAATTGGAATTAGCAGCTTTACAAGAATCAAACTGTTTAGAAGAAGACAGATTAAAGATTGCCAGAAGGGCTGAAGAAGACAGATTAAAGATTGCCAGAATGGTTGAAGAAGAAAAAATGAAGATTGCCAGAATGGTTGAAGAAGACAGATTAAAGATTGCCAGAATGGTTGAAGAAGACAGATTAAAGATTGCCAGAATGGTTGAAGAAGACAGATTAAAGATTGCCAGAATGGTTGAAGAAGACAGATTAAAGATTGCCAGAATGGTTGAAGAAGACAGATTAAAGATTGCCAGAATGGTTGAAGAAGAAAAAATAAAGATTGCCAGAATGGTAGAAGAAGAAAAAATGAAGATTGCCAGAATGGTTGAAGAAGAAAAAATAAAGATTGCCAGAAGGGCTGAAGAAGACAGATTAAAGATTGCCAGAATGGTTGAAGAAGAAAAAATGAAGATTGCCAGAATGGTTGAAGAAGACAGATTAAAGATTGCCAGAATGGTTGAAGAAGACAGATTAAAGATTGCCAGAATGGTTGAAGAAGACAGATTAAAGATTGCCAGAATGGTTGAAGAAGACAGATTAAAGATTGCCAGAATGGTTGAAGAAGACAGATTAAAGATTGCCAGAATGGTGAAGAAGACAGATAAAGATGCC